ATCCGAAAGAAATTTTGAAGAAATTGAGAGGATATAAAAAGAGTGAAGTAAACGTTACTCATGCATCGGTACGAGCTAAACTCTATCAAATTAAAATGAGAAAAGACGAAAAAGTAAGTGATTTTTGTGAACGCTTCGATTCAATAATTAGAGAATATGAATCATGTGAAGATGCGGTATCCCTCACAGAACAAGAGATTAGATCTGCACTTTATCAGGCTGTGTCAATTAATGTACCAGAGCTGAGGAATGTAGATTTAATTAGAAGACAAACTAATCTTAAAGAAATGAACATAGATGAAATAAAGTCTTTTATGATGCAGTTAGAAGCAGAGACTAAAAACGAGAATAAAGAAAAATTAGAGAAACCCGAAGTCAGGGTACAGAGGGCTGCTGCAGAAGAGAACATGAAACAAGTGAAATGCTACAGATGCAACCGAATGGGTCATATGGCAAAGGACTGTCCACTAATAGAATTTGGTGCCTGGTTTTGTTACTACTGCCAGGAAGTACGAGGTCACAAGGGTGATAATTGTCCGAGTGCCGAAGCCCAGGCGAACAGAGCTAGAGGAAAAAAGTATTTAAATAAAACCGTTAATAAAAACATAAAGAAAAAGGGTAGATTTGTGCAAAAAGGCACAAAAAGAGTAGATAACAAAGGGAAAATAACCAAGATACAACCAGCTGAGAAACCTATATCAACGAAAACAGCAAATGAAGGAGAATCAGAAGAAGGTAAATTATACATGGTTAAATTAATAGGAGATAGAGATAGTTCAAAAGAGGTAGTCAATTTTACTGCAGATTCGGGTGCTACAGATCATATTGTGAATAAGAATTTTATTCTGTCAAATTTTGAAAAATGTAAAGATAGAGTTATTAAATGCGCGAATAAAAATGAGCTTGCAAACATTTCAATAGATGGTAAAGGAGATCTTTCACTAATAACAAATGAAAAAGAAAAGAGAGTCATTAAATTAACAAATGTAATTGCAGCAAAAGAAGTATCCAAAAATTTACTATATCTAAGAAAGTTGGCTGCAGGGTTCAGTATTTATTTAGATGATAAAGTGTTTAAAGTTTACAATAAACTGACAAATAAAATAGTTTTTAAAGGAATTTACAGATGTAGAGCAGAAATTGTTCCACATAGTGAGCTTCCTGAACAATCGCAAGCAAACATTCAGACCAATGAATTATCAATTTCGGAGGGAGAGTTAGATGGGAGGGATAATATTGGCTTTGCGATTGGGAGGGAGAATGAAGGAGAGCTCACAAATGTGAACGAAAATATAGAACACAATAATGCTGAACTCGATCAAGTCATTAAGTTAGAAGATATACAGACAATAGAGAATATAGAAGAAATGTGTGAAAACTCAGTAATTGAAAAAGTAAAGAAACTAGAGAAAATAAATGAGGTGATGTTATGGCATGTTAGATTAAGTCATGCATCGTTAAACTATCTAAAACAATTACAAAAAGTAGAAAAGAGATTAGAGAATGTAAAGTTTGATAACTTTATATTAGAGTGTGAAGTATGTATAATGGCAAAGATGGCAAAACTGCCGTTTAAAGAAAACAGAAATAGAGCACAGAGACCACTACAGGTAATACATACGGACATCATAGGTCCAATAAAACCTACATCCTATCCAGGACAAAAGAGGTTTATAATCACTTTTATAGATGACTATTCTAGATTAGCAAAAGCCTACTCTCTAAAGACAAAAGATGAATCGGGAGAGGCTCTAGAGAAATATCTTATATCCGCCAGAAATCTACTAGGAAAAGAAGAAAAGCTATGCTATGCAAAGTCAGATCAAGACAAAGAAGTTGCAGAAAGGTTCAACAGAACGTTGAAAGAGAAAGTAAGAACATATATGCTCGACTCGGGATTACTAAAGAGTATGTGGGAGTTGGCAGTTGACGCTGCTGTGCATGCGTACAACAGATCTCCACATAAGACTTTCGAGTACGAGATCCCGTTGAAGAAGTTTTCATCAGAAACAAGTTGTCATTTTGAACAAATAAAGAAATTCGGATGCATTGGATATGCAAGAGTACCAAAGCCTACGTCGAAATTCGACAAGACAGCTATTGGTGTGTTGGTGGGATATACTGACACTGGATATATACTATATACTCTGGTATCCAAGCACGAGAAAATTTATAGAGTCATGACAACAGAGCAGCAAGAAACTGCACTAAGATGGATAGAAGTCACAAACTTAAAATGTTTGATGACGACTTAGAAGAAATAAAGAAAGACTTAGAAGAAAAAGAAAAAACTGGAAACAGAAAACTTATGGATGACACTCATGGAGATTTTATCAAGCAGTGTGTTGATTAAGGGAAGGTAAAAGTCGAATGGATAAAGACCAAAGAGAATTTGACAGACATTATGACAAAACCTTTACCTCTAGAAGCATTTGTGTATCTGAGAGATAAAATAATGAATATAGAGTTTAGACAAAATTAGAGATTAATTTTAGTCGATAACTAATTCTTGTTATGTTTCAGATAAAGAGGAAACTTAAAGAGGATCCGTGGATCGCTCGCCCAAAGGGAGGGAGTGTTGGGAGAAGACTTTGAACGAGCAATAAGTTCCCGCCCTTCTAGAGGGCAGCCCCCGGTTGGCGGCGCGACTCGGCGCGCCACGCGTGCGTGCGGGCATCAATGGTGCTCTCAAGAGCCTCGATCACCGTCGTGTTCAGACGTGTCGGTTACGGTTTAAGTTACAGAGTGTGATATACTTATATATAATAAAGACAGTATTCAGAGTGTACAAAGACCAAGATTGTTGTGTTCCCTGCTCATCTCACCACATTTCAAGTCGTCCCTGATTATATTTCCAATAGTAATCAAATAAATTATCCTTATTAAAATCTACTTCATTCGGTCTTATCGCCGATCTCTTAGGTATCCAGCCAGTTAAGGCATGTAAATCTATATATATTCTGTAAAGACAAATGTGATTACATTTAAAAGAATGGAAAAGATTAAGGTAATAAATTATGTACGATTAGTAATTTAATATTACTAATCATACATAAAAAAGGAAACACAAACTTACACTATTTGATCCAGGAAAATCATAACCACCCATTATTTTCATATAAGCCTTCTCAAGTAAAGAAATCCATAGCTCCCCACGATTGCTAGAGTAGGAACAGAGTAATTGGTTGTATCGGCTTACAGGCAGAAAGTCATCTATTATATTACTTTACGTGGAATGCCATTGAGATGTGTAGTTTCACCATGTATTTTTCTGATATTATATGTTCATCATTTCTAATATGTAATAAATATTAAAGTATACGCCTACGCATGTTTTACGATGCGTATGATAAATTCTTATGTGAAGAGTGATTGTGCTCTTTAAATGTATCTTTTGATAATTTCAATTTAAAGAAAGCCATCAAGTGTGAATGTTTAAAATTGTATTTGTTAAAAAGCCACAAACCAAAATATAAGCATCGGATAAAGTGCTCGTGCAAAATGTAGCTTAATGTAAACCGTATAATCAAAAGTAAAGTTACAATTTTTAAAAAAATCTTTTATACAAATATTCACGGCAGCAACTGTGAGCAAGTCAAATACCCTACAACAGTACTTCCACGCATTAGCATTGCCGTACTTGTTTTGGCATTCATCTAGAACAGAAAATGAAGAGACCAATGAAATCAAAGCTTTATTATACACAAATGTAAAAAAAGCCCAGAAAAGAAAGTATCGTTGCGCATTTACCGTAAAATCCATAAACGTGCGTGATTTGTCTAGATTCGTGATTACCGCGTAGTAACGTTATCCTGTCGGACCATTTAGCTTTAAGGAGCAGATGAGTAAACGTTTCTAAGCTATAGTAGCCCCGATCGACAAAATCTCCCAGGAATATGTAATTTGTATCTGGCACGGAGCCACCGTTACGAAACAGTTCCTCTAAATCATAGAACTGTAAACAGCACAAAAACATGAACAATCTGATGTATATTAATAATATCACGATTGTGTACAAATAACTATACAGCTACAGAACATTAAAATCGAAAAGTTGTAAGGCAATAGATAATGGAAGACTAATATTGTTGCGACGCTAATTCGGAAGATTAAAATTCTCAAAAACTTTACGTCGATCCTGTAGCGGTGAGCAAGGATGCTCCGACTTTGAGGTTAGTACAACATTCATCGCACGATACTGTTATAATTGCAAATCGGAAACGTACCTCGAGTCCAGCTCTTCTACGATCAACGAAGTCGGGATCGAACGTGTCAGTCGTCACTTTCTGCCAAGCGTAGAGAACCTTCTTTTCCGGCAGCGGTGGTAACACAATGTAGGGATACGAAACCTCCAGATAAGCACGAAGCAATTCAAATTCAGTATATCGCCGGCACGATTACGGTGTTACGGCTGTTTCGCATACGCGCGTATGCGCACGTTATCGCACCTTATTACCTCGAGACAGCGTGCGGCTCGTGCAAACGTTATTAACGCGCGGCCGCAATCACGCGGCAGAAACGCCTCGTGTGAACAGGCTCCTTGATCTCAGTATCAGCTCCCTGTCGTCAATATATAATATATATATATAGGTTAACCTGTATGTAAACACTCACGTAAACGTAGTATAAACAGTAAAATAAGTAACAGTAATATATAGAATAATTATAGGAGATAATTACATAATAAAACAATTACCTTGAATTAATCGTCGCGTCGCGTAAAGAGTCACGGTCGGTCTCGCTCCGCGCGTACTACCGTGTTTTTTTTTTTTTTTTTTTTTTTTTTTAATGTTGTTTCCTCGGTTGAGGGAAACTTAGTGCCTTCAGCTCCTCCCTGGAGCTTTATAGCACAACGTGGTTTGACCCTTGATTGTTTCTGTGCACTTTTCCTATTATTTTGCCTATCTTCTTAAGCCTAGGCTACATCCTTAAACTGAGATGTGTAAATGTATGGGTGTAAGTGTAACTGTGTGGTTATGTCCGCGATGTGGTGAATTCGGGATACCGTAAGTGCGTTAGGCAAGGAATTGCGCGGATTACTTCCCCCTGCGGCCGTACTACCGTGTCTCTCGAGATAGGTTAACTGACGAACTGAGTGACAGCTGACAGCGCGCTAAACGCACTATCTGCACTCGCGCAGCACACACACGCGCCCTAGTGTCGAAAAAGTGAAAAGGACGCGACTGCAGCCAATGAAATGATGGCATGGCATGAGAGACGTCGGCGTTAGGAGGAGTATCTTAATAAAAAATTTTCACATTTCGACTTTGCGTCGCAATATCTCCACTCGTAGGGCACGTAGCGGAATATTATAAGAGAAACCCCCCCCCCAAATCGACCCAAGCTATCGATCAAGCTTTCTTAAAACTTGATCCGTTCACTCGTTATATGAGATCTCAACATCTCGAGTATTCGCAAATCGTCACGTCACGTAAAAGAGTCACGGTCGGTTTCGCTCCGCGTGTACTTGGCGCGAGACACTACCGTGTCTCTTGATCGTAAAAGCCTCTAATGATTAATGTTGATGTTTTTAATAGAAAACAGTCAATATGATTATACCAGTAGTTTTAATTATACAGCCGATACAATAAACGTGAGCTGCGTGGCGTACAGGCAAAAGCGCGGGACGACAAGACAAGAATGCGGTGGCGCGCGTGAGCAGTAGCGGAAACTATAAAGCCAAAAAGAACTAAACACATGGAGATATGAGAACGCATCTAGCGCCAAATACAAATAACATATATGATTAAA